TGGGGTGGGGGGGAGCCTCCTGAGGATCCGAGTCTGCCTTCCAGGACCCTTGGAAGGCTCCCCCCACCCCCTACAGGGCCAGTGGGGGTGAAATCGCCAGCTTCCAATACCGTTTTGAGGCTTGGGAAGCCTCAAAAGGATCCTGGAAGCTGGCAATTTTGCCCCCTCTGGCTGCCTGCGGGGGCACTGTGATCCTCCAAAGGGGTCCTGGAACACCCTAGGACCCTTTGGAGGCTCACCCTGCCCCCCCACAGGGCCAGAGGGGGCGAAATAGCCACCTTCTGGGACTCTTTTGAGGCTTGGGAAGCTTCAGAAGAGTCCCAGAAGGTGGCGATTTCGCCCCCTCTGACCCCCGGGGGGGCAGGGTGAGCCTCCAAAGGGTCCTAGGGTGTGTTCCATAAGATGGACCTCTCCATAAGGCTCACCAATTTTTAGGAGAAGAAAACAGATTATTTTTTCCTGTTTTCGTCTACTAAAAATTTGGTGCATCTTATGGATAGGTGTGTCTTGTATATAAATACACCTTCTATCTGATTCAGAACCTTCTCACCTATGCTACACCTGCACAACACACAAATCGTATATGAAAAGCTGTGACTAGTCATCCTATACGAAGTTGGATCTTCTTCACAAGGTGACTAGAAAGACAAACAAGACAAAGTCTCAGACCACAATACTAAGCATACTTGCTTCAAAATAACCAGGGATAATTTTATCATGTAACTAGAAGTACATATTGGCCAAAATTCTGTTGCCTGGTGTAAACCAAATCACAGCTTTCGTTCCATTCCTCCCCAGTAAACAAACCATCCATGCCATGATTGTTGGGGGGGGGCACATACTGTGGGTTAATGCAGGGATGCTTTGCTTGCCAGGGAGGAGGAGCAGACTGAAACATACAGTTTGGCTTACACTAAGCAACAGGGTTTGGCCCATTATCTTGAAAGGAAATATGTTTAAGACTAAGGCATGAAGTCTCACGACTCTCTGAAATACTTAATGTTTGCTAAAACGTGATGGTGTTCCAGCTAATAATTTTATATTGCTGTATAATCCATACAATTCAACTCTGTTAAACACACAAGGCACCAGAGTAATCCCACAGACATGAATGAGATCTCTTATGTCACCAGTTCCATAAGTCCTACTCATTTTATCTACTCCAGTTGGGATCAAGACAAGATTTAACACAGAAACAACATGTATTAAAAATTCTAACTTTAAATTATCACCATCAAAAATCTACCTCTAGTGTGCACTTTCACTGATGATGGAAATGCATGTAAAGTGCCACCAATTTCAAAATAATGCTTATAGCATTCAGGATTAAATTGTATCAGCTTCCACTAATGATTAGTGCCTACCCGGTGTCTGCCTATACACATTCATTTATAATGTTTCCGTATTTTTTTGCTTATTCACAGAACTCTAAAGGATAAATGTTCTCTTACCAAAAAAGAAAATAAATATGCCTCAACTGGGATTTACTCCCGGATTTCCAACATCCACATTCATCATTACTGAATTATTGAGCGGAAATCCTCATTGTAGAGACCAAACATTTCATTCCTTTTATTTTGATGCATTATAGTTCACCTGAAATACGTCACAACTTCCCCAGGTTGTTTGCTGCTTAGATACATACAAAGCTCCTTAGATATCAGAGGGGTATTTCTCTACTGCCAATTAAATAATCCTGAAGCTTTTCGATGTCTCAATAGGGAAAGCGTATTAACTGTACCTTTCAGGGAAACCCAGTACTGCTTCCATTTCCTCCGCGCAGCTAACTCCACCTTCTTGTTCTTTTTGTGGACAAGGAAGTTTTTCACGGCAAGAGCTCCAGCCTTCCGTACAGTCCCTTGGCCTGCTGTCAGAAGAATATCCGACTGCCCTGGGGAGCTTAAGGTCCCACTGCTCTGTTCATCACTGAGGGCAGAACCAGCTTCATCCAAGTTATCGTTAGTGCTGCTCATCTCCAGCTCCCGCCGAAAGTTCTCATAGACTCCCTGACGGGCCCCATCTCCAGTCGATGAGCTGCCACTGTCACTGCCAGCAAAAGCTCGGCTGGTTGTTGGAGAGTAGCTAGAGTTTGTGGCATTGGAGCGTCTAGAAAGGAGGTCTGTGTCGGTCGTGGCACCCTCAATTCCACTGTCCGCGAATTCACTCCCTTCGCCTGTGTTAACATCCTGGTTACATAAAAGAAAGGGGAAAAAATAATATGGACGTCATCCAAATCAATCGAGTTCCTGAAGAATTGTTGCATTTAGGTGCCATTCTTTGCTAACTACTTTAACATCCTTGCCTAACTACGGACCCTCTAAACGTGTTGAATCACAATCTCCATCATCTCCAGCCAGCACTGGAAAAAGATATTCAAGTGTGTGCTTAAGTTATATTATATCCATGAAGTTCCTTAAATTTGTTTATCTGAAATAGTAATATAAATGCTAAAAATGAAAACTGGAGAAAAAACCCAACACATGAGTTTGAGCTCTTGCCGATACTGGGTTTTACTATCCATTTCTTGATGTAGTTGCTGCTGTGATTAATTATTGTAGGCGACATTTCTTATCGTTGTTGAAAAATTAATCACATTCTAAATTTAAATTTGATTAGGAATATAATGAGCACAATCACATAAAGCACTTTAAAAACTGATTTATTTTGGGAGGGGGGTATGTGACTTCAGCACATGCCTAAACATCCCATTAAAATCAGTTTGACTTAAGTACACCTTTCACTATTTTTAATCAGCAAATGACCTATTTATATCACCTCTCTCGTACAGCATCCCACCACATTATGTGCCACTTTGGAGGGTCCTTGGCAAGCAAGAGCAGCTGGCAGGGTGTTCAGGAGCTGCAGTGAAGACGGGAGGTCTGTATCATACCTAGATGTTGTTGTTAATATGTTTCTATTTGTTGCGAAGTATTTTATATGCTTAAGAAATATTTGATCAAATTCTAATAAAACAAGCAAGCAAACAAAACATATCCTTCTGCAATTCCTATCTTCAAAACATTTATACCTATACATGCATGTGCAAAAATGTTTACAACTGACATATGACGAACCCTTAACATTCCTCACAAAACTTCATACAGTATTTTTACTGCCCAGCAACTTTAAAACCTCTTTGTTTCTTTACTATGAATGCAAAGGACTGGAGCAAACAGAGTGAAGCGTTCTGGTTTCCATTTCAGAACAGCTTTGGAATCTTTTTAATATTCTACAGCTGCTAACTTATACTGTTTAGCTTATCTAAATTAACAGATAATTCCTCTTATTGCTGGCACAAGGTGCGGGAGAAAGACAACCTTCAATGCAGCTATAACTGTCCTTAAAAATTCTAAGGAGAAAAGGCTAAACATGGGTGATTTTTTAAAAATTTGAAAGTCCACTTTTGACAGTTCTTCATATTGCCATTTTACTACTGGTATGCAGAACTAGATGCATGTTAAGAACTGCTGAATTTCCATCTCCTTATGGCTAGAGGATAGCTTCAAAATGTTGCATTATGTATTCCTGAAATATCCCCAAAGCACTCCAATAATAGAGCACTTCCCTGGGTTAGGAAGGAAAAGAAACAAGCTTTCCAGCTAGTGGATCAAGGAGAATTTCCTGCCGCTCTGATTGGATGCTGCCGGCAAGCTAAATGGTACAGCTGCTCCCTAGGCAGAGCTCTCTTTGAAGTGGTCAGGAACAAGCACACCCCCTGAAGCTGAGAATCTTCTGAATGTCGAAAAATTGTGAATGGCAACTGCTGAATGATGAGCCTCTTCAGCATGCTTGTTCGTGAATAAACGTTATCTGGCATGTACTGAAATGTGTTTCTGATACAACTGTGGAAAGTTATTTTGGGTCACATCTCCCAGAATTACTCAGTCCGCACAGGCATATCTGTAGATACGTGGAATGCTAATTTGAGAAAGATATTATACATAAGCCTTTATCAGAAAAGGTCCCAAAAAAAACCCCACCCCTTAACCTTCTCATTTTATCACCACCTCAATAAATCACACAGAAATGAATGTAGAGCTCTTCTAGAAATTCTTTCTTGATTTAATTAAAATGGCAAATGCAAAATAAAGCCAAACAATTTGATTCCTTAAAGGTGGCAGGATAAAGGGATTCCAGTTCCAAAATCGGATAGATTTCCACCAACCAGCACACATGCCTCTGCCTTTTTTTTTCTTCCAGTACTTTGCAAATTTCAGGTTTAGACTGACACAACCCCTGTGGTTAATCTAGACCAAGCTGTCAAAATGGATGAAAATAAAAGTCTCTTTGAGGATTAAATTCTTGTGCTTGGTTTTTACAAAAAAGTGGGTCACCCTTATAAGTAATTAATTTCTAATTCCATCGTTATGTAATAGCTGCCTGATGTTTTAAACACTACTTCTAACTAAATATTACTTGTACATCTACTTATTTCCTCTGGCATCTTTATCTACTTAGATATATATTTATTTTTACTGTTAAAATTCTCCAGATGTTTATCTTTCTACTAAATCTTCTATTAATCTACACATTTAATGACTGATGACTTTATTTGCGTCCTTTTAAAACAAAAACTGTTAAACTGGAATATCAATCGGATTAATATTAATTCCATTTGAAAATGGTAAATAAACAAAACCGAAACACAAAGGCAAAATACTTTGCATCAACTCATGGATCTGAAAATTTGCACAACACAACATCTGACAGAATCACAACCAAAGCTGTGATATACAACGCAGCACACTTTTACACTGTACAATGTAAGCCCACTTCAGGAATCCAAAACTGAGTAGAATATTGATGTATAGCGGAGAACAGTCTAGCCCTGCACTGCTTTGCTATCACTGCCAGTGTTCTCTTACATAAGGAAGGTTATAATGAGTTTAAAGAGTGCTGTCTTCATTGTGGGAGCTCTCCATATGAAAAATTAAGGTCCCAACAGACATGGAGAGCTTCCATGGGTAGTACAGTTCTCCCTCTACAAAATCATGTCCCTATATATATATATGTAAAAGGATTTTTAAAAACCAAAGATGTAAGGTGAGTAGTTGCCACCATCCCATCAATTCAAGAGAACTGCTCATGATTTTGAAACCCTGTGTAAGGCTTTAATGCTAGGCGAATTTTGTCATTTTTATTATACACCGTAGTTTGTTCTTCTTACACAGATAGCTTTTTTACAAAAAGAAAATGGAAATTTAATTCAAAATAAAATTTAAAATAGCTAAAATTAAAAAAAATCATAATATAAGAACACTAATGCGGGGGGAGGAAATTATAGTCCTTAATATATCATGCATCAGTTTGTTCAATAAATAGCCTAAAATAGCCTAAACTAAAACCCACTAAATATTAAAGAAGTTTGGAATCAGTTTGTTCAATAAATAGCTTAAAATAGCCTAAACTGAAACCCACTAAATATTAAAGTTTGAATATGTAAGTGATCATAATCAGAAGCTTGACGTTCTTCCACACAGAAGATAAATTACATCCACAAAGTTATGACAGTACAACTGAAGTGAGCATTATTCATGAGATAATTCTCATGTCTAAAACTTGCACATGTTGTACTCAAAGTGATTAATAATTTAAATAAATCATTTCCATGAGAAAACTGGTCTATGGATTAGGACAAAGTTAACAGAATTTATCAAACTATTCAGGAATGTTATACTTATGGGAAAAGGCAAACATAATCTAATAGGCAAATTCACAGCATGTCCTGTGATGCAAGGAGACCTCAGCTTCCTCCCACTTTTGCAATTTGAATGAGAGATATACATAATATTGAATCAAATCATGTTCCACTTGTGTTCTGTCTCTTCTCTCCCTCCCCAAATGATTCAAGTTAGCAGCCCTCTTTTGTTTAAGCATTACATTTAAGCACAACTAGATACTCCATCTGTTGAATCATTTCTTTTAAACAAAATTTCTTTTTAAAGAGCAAAACATCTCTAGGCATTGAGAGGAAGTAAATCTGTCTTCGTTCTCTGTGACACTGTAACATATTAAATTTGTTATGCCCTATGCAAAAGATAAAAATCAAATGACATCTCCTATAGGCTATCTAAAATGTTACGATTAAAACCATGCTCAGTTTCAATTAAAAAGAGATCAATTGTAAATTGCAGGAAAATATTGTCCCCTGACAAAAACATTGACTAATGTGTTTCACAGTGAGTCAGCCATCAGGAAGCAGGTGGGTTTTAATTAAGTAATCATCTAGGGTACATAAGACGTTTGGCAGCATGGTCAAATTAGAAAAGCATTCATATATTCACATATCAGAAAATACAGCCCAGTTGCCAATGAGATTAAATTGTCTTTACTTTGCAATGATGGCTGGGGCGGAGAGATCTAGCCAAACTTAGGCTAAAAAATCAAACTTTAGACTTAGAATTATCAGTAAATTTTGAGCCACTTCATGTGTTGCATTAAGAAAATTATCCACACTGGTCAAACTGGAACTTTTATCTGTTATGCTTTGGACAGGAATTTTTAAAATTAAGACAAGGATACAGAAACCCCTGAAGAAGCATTTGAAGGCTCCTCAAGACGGCTTACATGGATGTACCCACAGAGGACAGGCTGAACTTAATTGGTCTTAGTTTTATAATAAGCGGAAACTATAAGAAATGTTTTGCTCCAGCTCAGGGTTCTGGCCAATCATCAGTCCCTCTTTTCCAGCATTTCTCCCCCTGCTTCTTTTGCATCCCTGTCTCTCAGACACACAAGGTTCTGTGGCCACGGAAAACACGCTGTCCTCACGGGGCTGTTTTGAGGGTGCATCACACAGAATATTTTTCACCTTATAGGTTTCCTTACACTAATTCTATAAGTTCCCCTCAGAATGCTGATGCACACTGATGGTTATCTAGTCAAAGCTAAGAACTGATTGGTATATGATGATAGGCCAATTATTACAGAATATCTAAATTTCATTTACAGTTGTACCAAAAACGGAAAAGGATAGAAAGGCATACGTTGAAGCTAGCCAAGCACACATGCTTTAAAAAAAACCTTATAAGCTTTTATCATTTCAAATGTTCAAAATACCTCATGTTCATCAGGTCAGAAATCATTACAGGAACTCTTTAGGGCACACTGGCTTTACTCTCCTTCCCCATCATCACTCAAACTGCAGATCTGAGGGGCAGGAAAGAGGAGGGAAGGACACAGACCT